TCCGCACATCCTCCTTCTTGCTCACATCACATTTGACGTTGGCAATTTGGATGTTAGGCTGCGCACTCTGCAAGTACTGCCAAATCTCTCCTTCCTTCAGTTCAGTAGCGGGTTCGCCTGATCGAGAGAGCAGTGCAATGTGCCTGGCACCCTCCTCTACCAGCATCTTGCACACAACAAGTCCCAAGGCTCCGTGGCCGCCTGTAATGGCGTAAGACTTTTGGATGCTGGCCGCATGTTCCTTTGGTGAGAGCGCACTTGGAATCGTGAGGACTACCTTGCCAACGTGCTGCGCTTTCTGGAGGAAGCGAAACGCTGCAACGCCTCCGTCTTGGGGGTCGCTCATGTCGAAGACACTTGCAGGAATAGGCGTTAGGGACCCGCACTCCAACCCCTGTGTCATGCGTTGGAGCTGAAGAGCAAACCAACGAGGGTTGTCTTCAATCATAAGATCCACTGCCGCCGTTTCGTAATGAATATCAGGTCGTGCTGCCTTCATTTGGTCATGCGTCCAAATGCCGCGTTTGCCGAGCTCAATAAAGATGCCATTTTCCGAAAGGAAAGAGAGCGAAGCGGATATGAACGGATCGAGGAGTGAATTAAGCACCACGTCAACTTTTCCATCATCCCCGAGGAATTCTTGCATGTCTTTTATGAAGGTTTCCGGCTTGCGACTCGAGGTCACATATTGCACTCCTAGCTCTTTTACATACTTCGCCTTTGCCTCACTACCGCAGGTACCGTAGACGACGGCTCCCACGCGCTGACAATACTGAATAGCTACAAGTCCGACTCCACCAGACACCGCATGCACTAGAACCTTGTCGCCTTCTTTGATTTTTGCAATGTCTCCGAGAGCGTGCTGAACGGTTGACACAACGACTGGAAGGGTTGCGGCCTCCGGAAAAGATAATCCATCGGGGAGTTTCCACAGCAAATCCTCGCTCGTTACCTCAAACGTCCTCAGGCATCCAGGAACAATGCCAAAAACAGTATCGCCAACCTTCAAACGCCTGACATCTGGGCCTGTTGCAACAACAATTCCAGCGCAGTCAGAGCCTGGAGGCCCAGGGTCCCCTGGATAGAGCCCCATGACATTGAGAACGTCACGGAAATTGAGACCGACAGCACGCACTCGAACTTCCACCATATTTCCCTTCGGCTGCTTCCTGTAGCTGATGGCCTGCGCTCTTAAAACAAGGTTTGCTATGGCCCCCCTGTCTGGAAGGTGCAGTTCTATGGCCCCTCGGACACCCTTTTTCAGCTTTGCAAGCCGATGCACAAAGAGGGAAAGCGATTCAGCCTTCGACTCTGGCGCTGGTTCCACGCTGTTCTCGATAGAAGCATCTTCATCACCCATTCCCTCCCCTAACTTTTGACACAAAAGGAGCTCAGGCTCGTACGGTTTCGTGTCTTGGATTCCAGCCAACGCATGCACAACTAGTGGCAAGTGTGCCGCATCATCAATGTCCACGCACCCCAGCGGAATGAGCCTGCCCAGTTGAGCAGCAGTTTCTAAACGCACCGCACGTGCGAAGCCCCAAGCTCCCGCTTGAGAGCATCCGTCATTTTCTTTTCTTGTTGTGTAAACGCCTTTCGTTATAATCCAGATGGGCTTGAGAACAGCTGCTTTATCAGCCATAATGGCTTTGTGAGCCGCTTTACAAATAACTGTCAGGCCGACTACAATCGAAGTTTCATGTGCCTCTGACGTAGTTGCCGCGACAACAATAACCTGCGGCGCCTCTGTCAACGCGTCTTTCGCTGTGACGAGGATCGGTGCAAGTTCTTCTACTGAAGGATTGCCCAACACTGTACACTTGGATGGTTTGATTAATTCTTCAACTGCAGTAAACGTATCATCCTTCTTTTCCCGGAAATCGATTACAACAAGATCCAGCTTTGCATCTTTGGGAATTTCGTCAGGAAGGGATTTTAACTTTTGCCACTGGGAGCGCCACAGCAATTCTCGCGGGACTTCAGCTGCTGGTACCGGATCCACAGTTCTCATTGTAAGATGGGTGACACTTGCAACCCAATCCCCGTCTTCGGTCATTATTTCGATGTTCATCACTGCTTGGCTTGCGTCGCGTTTCACCAGTGCCACATGAGCGAGAAGAACCTTATCCACGCCATTCATAGAACCCATGGCCACTTGCTGTATCATAAATGGAATCATCAGCCTAAAGGGCCGGGGTTGCAGGGATTCCTTCTTTGCCGCTGCAAGATCGTGCGACAAAACTAACGCCCCCACCGTTTGGAAAGTCCCGTCAAGCACACAAGGGTGAAGACGATAACCAGTCTCGCCAGTAGTAATGGGACCAGGAAGGTTGAGACGTAGCTTTGCACTCGAAGCTCCGCATTCCATGGCCTGTACCACCCGGAACTTAGGTCCTAGGTCAAGTCCGTTGTCTTTGATCCGCTGATACATTTGCTCTACATCCACCACATGACGATTCTTTTCTTGATCGAATGCTTTTAGCAGCTCTGCAGCAGCCGTTTTCCCCTTCCCTTGGGTTCCATCTCTGAGATAGCGGCACGACACGTGAACGACAGTTTCGTCTTCTTCGCCTTTTGAGCTGGAAAGCGTTACTTGCCCATTGGGAGCAAGTGTAACAAACAGCCTCTGCGTGTCATGCAGGCCATCTGTGACGGGCTTTTCCAAAAGCAGGGGGCGCTGAAACTCAACTTCTTCCAGTATCACTGTCTTCTTGTGATCAACCTCAACCGGGCAGATAGATCCCGCGGGCTTGCCGTTATTGCAGCTAACAGCAGCAGCCACAGTCTCCAAATATAAGGCACCTGGCATCACAGGCCGCTCGTGCAGCATGTGCTGGGCCATTATTTCAAAGTGTTCTTTTCTAACCTCGCCTTCATAAACGAAATCGCCAGCGTCCCCCTTTTGAACCCGAGCAACATGCGGATGCAAAGTTTCGCGTTGAGAAAACTTTTTACGATTCCATACTATGGGATCCCTTCGTCGCGCTGGTGTCTCTGGCTGAACATACTCTTCAAGGACGGCGTGCGCATTTGCACCGCCAAAACCAAAAGAACTGACGGCTCCCAGCAGCTTTGTGCTTCCTGTCAGTCCCATGGAAGACTTCGGAAAAACGACGGGCATATCTTCTAGCTCAATGTACGAGTTCAGTTTTTCAAAGTGTAGGTTAGGCGGGATCTCACGGTGTCGAAGACACAGCATGAGTTTAATCAGAGCGGCTATTCCTGCGGCTCCCTCCAAATGCCCTATGTTGGTCTTGAGAGCGCCCACGAACAGTGGCAATTCCGCTACTCTCCCAGATCCGTAGACAGCACGCACAGCACCCATCTCGATCGGGTCGCCCAGCGACGTCCCTGCACAAAGTCACGCCCTTACTCACAGCGTGTGCTCCGAAGCGGCACTTCCACCTTAGTGCATCATTCACTATACAGCAGACGCTTAAGAGCTGCGGCGTGATGACCTACCTGTGCCATGAGCTTCCAAAATTGTTACTTCATGGGGTTGAACGCCTGCTTGACTCAAACACGCACGGATGACAGCTTGTTGGGCTGGGCCGCTGGGGGCTGTCAGACTTGCACTTCTGCCTCCGTGGTTGACTGCGGAGCCTTTTAGAATGGCAAGGATGGAATTTCCATCCTTCAGGGCATCTTCTAATGGACGCAAGAAGACCATGCCAGCGCCCTCCCCCCTGGCGTATCCGTTCGCTCGCTGGTCAAACGACCGGCAACGGCAGTCTGGGGAAATCATACGGGCTTTTGCAAAGCAAATGAACAAATTCGGTGACAGCATGATGTTCACGCCTCCAACCAGGGCACCTTTGCAGCTACCTTCAGCAAGCTTGGCTGTCGCACTGTCAAGGGCAACAAGGGACGATGAACAAGCAGTGTCAACCGTCAGCGAGGGGCCCTTCAGGCCAAACATGTAGGAAACCCTGTTTGAAATAATTGATGGCGCGCCGCCCGTTCCTGCAAGCATGCGCATCGACACTTTCGAAACAACATTTTGCTGCGTGTTCTCGCAGGGAAAGAGAGAGAGACAGGCGCGCGTAAGGTTTTGTCGCACAATTCATATTGCGCTTTTACCGGTTAAGAAGAAGCGGGAAGGAAGCCGCCGCTGAATATGCATGCCGACATACACGCTTGCCATTCGCTCAGGGCTCACCTGTGAAGGAACCCGTCGGGACGTCAAGCATGTGCCAGTCGGAATTGCAGCACCCAATGAAGCAGCCGATTTCCTGATCAACGAGATCTGTCTTCTCAAATCCAGCAGACCAAATGGCCTCATACGCCACCTCCATCATGAGGCGCTGCTGAGGATCCATCACCTGCGCCTCGATATTGCTGATGTTGAACAGCGCGTTGTCGAAGTAAAACGCGCGTTCAACAACCGCTCCTAGCTTGGCGTACGTGGTGTCAGGTCTATCGGGGTCCCGGTCATAATATGCAAACATATTCCACCTGTCAAGAGGAATTTCATCCATGCAGTCTGTGCCTGCTTGCAACATGTCCCAGAAGCTAGCTGTGGTTGTTGCTCCACCGGGCATGTGGCAAGCCGCACTGACGATTGCAATTGTACTCACCCGCCTCTCCGTTTGCAAAACCTTTCCGAAACCAGCAGGAGGCCCCATATGACTACGACCAGAAGACTGCTCGGCTATCTTGCTGTTCACGTAATTAATCATTGCGCCTACAGTTGGATAGTCAAACATTGCTGTCGCCGGAAGCTTAATTCCTAAGGTGCTTGAAAGAGAATTTCTAAGCTCTACAGCACCAATGGAATCAATTCCCAACTCGTGCAGAGGCTGATCCATCGCCGGGGGCGTCGATAGTCCAAGGGACGCCATTACAAGTTCTACGACTTTCTTTTCGACAAATGCATGCCGCTCTTGAGAATTCATCGAGCTCAAAATTGGAAGCGACGGTGACGCCATTTGGAAGTCACGTGTGGCGTTCTTCAGCAATGCAGGCACTCTGTCGTATCTGAAGCGCAGCATGGGCACAGGAGTACGCAATTACATTGATTGAAGTTCCAGCCGACCTGAGAGAGCCTGGCCATGAGGGAGCACACGCACACATACCTCATCAAGAAGTTCCGCCACCTGAATGATTGGCTCATCAAAACGCAATAACGATCTCCATGCCGCAAGATGTCTTGCAAAACCCGAACACCCAAATCATCCGTAATTCCTCTCATACCGGCTTTCTCCAGTAGAGATTTTAGCCCAGCTGCCATTCCCTGCTCGATCCACGGCCCCCACTGAATGCTCTGACCACACAAACCGTTCGAGCGACGCCAAGATGCAAGGGCATCCAGACATGCATTCGCCGCTGAATAGTTCGCTTGCCCAA